ACTCCTCCTGCTATCATCTCACTTTACAACAGCCAGATCATAGATGAATTTAGGCAGGATCTGTCTACTTCTCACCTTTCAATCTCGACAGAGTCAAAAATCTTCCCTTCGTCCTTGCAGCTAACAAATTATTTTCCACTCTGAAACCACTCTTTCACTGACGAAATGCCGCAGTCCCCCTCACAGCTCTATCACTACTTCCATAGGAAGTGCTCACACGAGCTAAATTCTTTAGTTTCACTAGTTCTAACCTCAGCTAGAACCCGCCATGCAACGCGCTGCAGCGAATCACCCTCTTGTCCGGTCCAAAATCGTCTCGTCTTCCTTGCCTCACACTACTTCCCTCTGTATACCAGTGTTAACTATTAAGTTCCATAAGAGTAGCTTCTTCCTGCGAACGACTGCCTTGTAAAATCGACTCCCAAGAGGATGTTTTGCCGATCAGTACAATCTTAACCTGTTCAGGTCTAAGGTGAACTGTTATCTTCTCTACCTATCCATATAAACTGTGTCTCTTACTCTCTAACTTTGTACCTTGGGGTGCTCCCGGGTCTTGTACAGGATGAACCTGACTGTGAAAAAAAAGAAGAGAGATGAAAACACTAGGCAAAAGAACATCTGTGATAAGTAAATAAGAAATAGTCAAAAGTGACATATAGTGACAAAAACAAAATAAAACTGAATTCTTGAGCGAGAGACTTTGAAGATTAGTCGGTGCAAGAAACCCTCTAAAATACGCAACAAAAATAAAAATAATGAAATTCGCTAGCGAGGTTTTAATGGTATGAGGCTACATCAAAAGCAGTGCTACATGAAAGTTGATAAAACAAACTGAGCAATGAACGTTTGAAACATATTAGTTTGCTAAGGTGTCACCTATTCCAACTATCACCTGTAACAAAGAAGTTTATCACTGATGACATTGCACAGTTAAAACACGGATTTGCCTGAAGCCCTGACATTAACATAATCGAATATATGTGGAGAGTTGAAAACTCGGGTGTATAACAGGAAGTCAATGAACTTGCTACAGTGTTCGGTTTACTGCCAAAAGGGTTAGAAGAATATTCCTGACAAAAAACAAAAAAAAAAAAACAATTGCTATTTACCTCCATCATATGTTCAGGCGAAGCTGTAATGCCAACGGGATTCAAATTAAATGCTGATTACGAATTTTAATGTCCCTAGATATATAAATATATCTATTTTCTGTAATTCTAGTTTTCTTCCATCAATAAAAGCAGTTAATTCTGCGTTTTTGTCTCGTGGCTCATAACTTTTGAACGCTCTATTTTCAATATCACAACGCGTTCTCACTTCGGAGTGAGTTCATGTGAATGCGACGACTTGCATTACATCCTAAACGGCTACTGATACTGACTATATTTCTGAGATGAGGTATTATGTACACTATTTGTATTATTCGGACTATTGTCCTCATCTTTGTCGCCATATTTATCACAACATTTCGGACCTTCAGTATCTGTCTATATTTCTGAGATGAGGTATTATGTACACTATTTA